GAGTACTTGTACCCAACTCTTTGCTAGTTCATTCATTCTCGTTCATTACTTTCAACAAAGATAGTTATGCAGCTCACCCAGGTCAGTGCAGGTGTGTCTCTTCTGGAGCTCCGACTTCACAAGGGCCAGTGCCTCAGTGTCAGCAGTAGCAAAAACCAAGTTGTCGACATACACGAGGATGTACAACGGCGGCAGCGAAGTGTCGATGTGCAGAAACAGCGACGGGTCAGCAGTCGAAGGAGCAAACCCAAGAGCCGCAAACATCGTCCTCAGTGTGTCGTGCCACTCGTGAGGCGCGTGGCGGAGACCGTAGACTAGCCGCCGGAGGCTCCACTGGGTACCTGTAGGAAACGACCCAGCGAAGCCAGGTGGGCGGCGCAGCCAGATCTCCTCGTCCAAGCTGCCCTGTAAAAAAGTTGTGCTGAATTCAAGAGAGTGAAGCTCATAGAGACGCTGAGCACGCGGCCAGCAGGGCGGCGCAACAGGCAGGGCAGGGCGGCGCGCGGCTGGCAGGGCGGCGCGACGGGCAGGGCAGGGCAGCGCTCCGCCAGCAGGGCAGCGCGACGGCAGAGCAGGACAGCGCGCGGCCAGCAGGGCGGCGCGACGGGCAGGGCAGGGCAGCGCTATGGGCAGGGAACCATGCAGTGGGCCCTAAAAAAACGGTCTTGGAACAGGACCTGCTCTGAAACCATGTCAAGAAACTGAACGAGAATGATTGCACCGAGAGGAAAGTTGGTACAAGTACTACCACTGCTGCTCCCGCTCCCACTGCTACTCCTGCTCCCACTGCTCCTCCCGCTCCGGGAGCTTACGGTATTCTAGATCCTTTCACACTTCTAGCTCCTATTTACCTGTTGGCTTCTTCTATTGAATAACCGTAGGGTAGATACTGTTGATCAGTTTGTGGAGAGGTTAGGTTTCTGTTCCAGCCTGTGGTTATGTGTACAAATGTTAAAGCTGTATTTTGTAATGTAGTACCGTACCTTGGCATTGATGCTGGTACAATATATTTACTAAATGCATAGATTTATTAAGGCTGGCATGGTGTAGCATACTAGGAAGGACCACAGCTCAACAAGCCAGCTTCTATGCCAACATAGGAAAAAAACTAGAAGCATCTGATAAAGAGAAAGCAGAACACATATACCGTATACTCCCGGACAAAACACCCCCCCATAATTGTACACCCCCGGGTAGCTTGTGCGGGGTGGGTGTTATGGGGAGCCTCGTTTCTACTATACCCCCCTTTTTGCCTGATTCTCTATAAGACCCGGGGGGGTGTTATGGGCGGCAAAAATACTGAATTTGCATACTGTACATTGCATACAGGGTACTTTACAGGTACTACAGAAGTAATGTGCCAGCACATAGTCATCGACAATGTCACCTAGACTGCAGAAACATCACCACAAGAGCACCTCACATCCACAATTTCACCTAAAAAAACTCTATACAAAGTGCCTTCTACTCAGAATCGTCTCCTGCATGCCATTCTTCACAGTCTTCCCCGTCAAAGCGGCCAGGGCGCCACCATTCGTCATCGCTGGGCTCTTCTGCCTCCCCGCCTTCCTCAAGCACGCCCCCCTCCTCCTCTGCCGCCGCCGCTTCCGCGTCCTCCTCAGCGGCGTCAGCCTCCTCTCCCGCCGCCTGCAGCTCCTCGGCTGGCATGGGGACTTCGGCGTAGAAGGGGTTGACGACGAGCTCGTCGTCAACCAGGTCGTTGACGTCGTCAAGGACTTCCACCTCACCCTTGTCCCGTATGTGGGCAAGGATCAGGTGGTCCTCGCTGCCATTGATGGGGGTGGAGATCCCGCACGTGACGAACGCCTTCTTCACGAGCTCCTCTGGGATTGCTTCCCAGGACTCATCGATCCAGCGGAGCACCAACTCCGCTGGCGGCTTCTTGAGACTGCCTGAGGGACGGGGAAGGGTAGAGAAGGACAAATGTGAATTTCCAGAGCGTAAGCCGACATTGATTCAAAGTTACACATGCGGATGTCATGGTTCAACTCACCGGACTTGGTGGTGGTGTTGATGCCCTCTTCTTCGAACCAGCCACTGTAGCGATGACGCACACCGCACTTGAACGCGCGGTTGATCGACACATCCAGAGGCTGCACTAGCGGAGTGCAGCCCCCTGGGATGACAGCCCGTGACAGCGGAAACATCCTCATGGTCTGCCCGACCGCCTCAGTCAAGTGGCCGCGGTAGGTGTCGAGCACAACCAAGGCCTCCCTGCGGCGTCCAGTTGATTCACGCAAGGGCTTCAGAAATGGCACCATCACCTGGGTGATCCAGTCCTGCACAAGTGATTTGTCCATCCACCCTTTGTCTTGTGCACGGACCACCACACCTGCCAAAGAATACCGGTACGTCAGGGTCAAATTCGGTTGCGACTGTTGACAGGCTAGAGTAGTGACATCATGCTAAACGTGCTACGCTTACCGGCAGGGATGGGCACCTTCGGTATGGTCTTGCGCTTGAACACCACGTACGGCGGCAGCTTGAGCCCGCTCGCAGTTACTGCCAGCATGGCAGTAACACGCTCCTTCTCATAGCCCGCACTCCGTACGTGAACCGTCCGCGCTCCCTTCATTTCGAGCGTGCGCTCCGCCGGCATCTCCAGGAAAAGCGGGGTTTGGTCCGCGTTCAAGAGGAGGTCAAGCGGGTAGTCGTGCAGAGAGCGCATCTGGCGCACAAACTCCTAGAAGGACTCCACCTTGGCCTTGCAATCTGCAAGCAAAGCCACGAGACACATTAGCTCAGCACTGAGATGGCAATCAAGGAGCACGACGGCGCAACACTTACCCGCTGCCAACTTCTGTCCCATCTTCGTCTTCACCCGCCTCGCTAGATGCCAGCGCGCGCGGAAACGAGTCGCCCAGCGGAACGATGCGCGCCAGTTGACCCCGGGCATCCGGTGCTTCATGTACTTGGCGCTCCACTTCTGGAGCATGCTGACCGAAACGGCGAGCCCCCTCCCCCTTTGCTTGAGGAACTGGCGGTAGACCGCCCGTTCCATGAAAGGGAACTTGGACTTGCGGCCAGCTCCCATGAGGCGACGACGGCAGCTGGAAGAGACCTCCAGCCGCTCCCTCATCTTCTTCCAATCGCGGATCTGGCATGGCTGCACCATCGCGAGCTTCGCCAGGGCGCAATTCGACAGGTCGGGCTGCGAGTCCTGCATCTTCAACCAGTGGAGCTTCTCCTTCGCGGTGATTCCCTTGCGCTGGCGTTTCGTCATGCGATGGCGAGGGGATGGCGGGTCAGCATCGGCGTTGCGCTTCTGCTGTCCCTGCGGGCGGTTCTGCTCCGGGAACGTGGGGACAACCACTCGAGGAAGGGTAGGGCGAGGACGGTCCAAGCTACTGCTCGGTTCATCCCTGGTAGAAGCACTACCGGGAGCATCCGGGTGAGGAAAGATCGGGCGAGGAGACGTCCGTGCGCGTGCAGAAGCGCTAGTCTGATTGGTGGAAACAGGCCGCTGCCGCCTATCTACCGTACTGCTAGAATCTGGAGATGAAGCCATGCTTGGGAACTAAGGCAGTTCGATGTCACTCGCCATGGGAGAAATGACTTTAAAGACGATACCCTCGTGCACAGGAAGGAGACGCTATCACAGCCTGCCGAGCACTTGTCAAAGACGTGCACTGGAACCGCTTGACGAAGAGAAGAGCAAGCTTGGGTGAGGAAGCTTGGACGTGACTACCGTACACGGCAGTCAAGGGGTCACAGGTACAGTGACAACACAGCACCGTGCGCGATTCCGGCCTCTTACTGCATGAACCCAAGCTGCGCGAGGTTGGCACTGATGTCAACCAATCAGGTGGCACAGTGGGCCCACTGGAATTTGCCATGTGGCAGATTCCAGTGGAGGCCGACGTTATCCTCGTAGACGCGGTTTGGCGGCCCTGATAAAAAAAAAAATAATAAGGCCAGACCCCTGTTTTTGTTTCCATTCATTTCTGCTTATAAAAAAATGTGCAATATAATAAGACCCGGGTATTATGTATTTTTTTCCTATGAGGAGACCCCCCCCCCCATTTTTTCCCTGTATTTTTAGCTATACCCTAAGGTGTTATGTCCGGGAGAATACGGTACGGGTCGACAAAGTATACCAGCACCCATATCCGGCACACACTCAGCACAGTTGACAAGTGTTGGGCTGAGAAAATCCCTTAGGATCTTTTCAAGGCTAAGACCTTTGTAATAGGAATGTTGTAATTGCGGAAGCGTAATGATAAGGTTTTCTGAACCACCTTGTAGTGGTGTGTGAGAACAAGATAAGTTGATAATAACAAAGAAATACAAGGTTTTTATATGATTACAAAAGAATATGAAAGGTTTTACTTTAACTGTTTTGCTATTTCGGTTCGATACAGTGACGACTCGGGTAACTGCTCAATGTCGAGTCAGTTATCTGTCCTTGCTGTCGCGCTGTATTTTCGTCGAGTCAAAGGTCAGCGACCTTTGACCTTCGCGTAACCTCTAGCTGTTTCTTTTGTTGACTCGCGTGTTGCTTCGCTGTAGTCTGCTCCGTTTCGAATCGATACTTCGATTACTTCAGAAGCGTTAAATTACTTGTTTCCACCAACGGGCAGTAGGCAATGCTCAGTGGAGCATGAAGCGATGCAAATCCAGCGACTAGAACAGCATCCCATCGAGGGCCATGCGAGGGATGGAAGTCAGTTGAGTGGAGTGGGGTGGAGTGGAGCAGAGTGGAGTGGGGTAGCAGCATTGCATGGCCAGTTGGCCACTCTGATCAGGCTGGGGGTACATGCACTATATGCTCAAGCCCATGCACATTTTCCGCCACATGGCTCTCTCACACACAACCCCACGTGCAGAGACTGGGTGCGCACACGCACACACAGACGTGCAAACTCGTATGTACCCACATCCCCCACACACACACACATGCACGCTGCCACACCCTTAATTACTCCATGCACACAAAGAAATATACACACACACGCACACACACACATGCACACACTCACTTATTCCAGAACGCCTGCCCCTTCTTCCTCGTGTCCAACCCTCCCTTCCACCTCACCCACGAGAAAATCTCCACAGCTCACTGTCATATCTATGCAGACAGCCGCTCATTCACACAGCAGTACCACCCATCACCACCCATCACCAATCACCACCCATCACCACCCATCACCACCCACCACCCGTCACCCATCACCCATCATTCACTCTGCGTGTACTCTCAACCCTTACTCTCCCACACGCAGTACCCATCACCGTACGTCGCCACACTGTACTCACTACTGCTTGGCAGCAGCTTCCCCATATCAAACTGTGACCCTATCTTCACCACTATCTTTCCCCCCCTCGCCCGCACACTCCCATTCCCCCCTCCCTCCGCTCCACCATCTGAACCGGCCTTCCCTGGGCCGATTTCAGCCACGTATAGGTTGGATTCTGCTGCAAGGATGCGGATGGGCGAGTCGGCTCTGATACCGTTGCGCTGCCGCACTGCAATGAGCTCCAGAATGGGTTTCTTAAGGCCCCACGTGAACACGTGGTCGTAGAACTGGCCGCGTGGTGGTGAGAGGGAGGAGGGACAAGAGGGGGAGTGGGGAGAGAGGAGGGTGAATATGAGGGAGTCAACCAGAGGGGAAGAGCAAGCAGAGGGGAAGCGAAAGCAGAGGGAAAGAGCTAGCAGAGGGAAAGTATAAGCAGGAAGGGGGGGGTACGGCGAGAGTTCTCACAACGCAGGGCATGCCGGGGTGGGTGAGGATGTACGCGTAGCCCTGCATGGCCTTGTCCGCAGGGAACGAGTTTTGCAATGTCTAGTTCTGAGACGTCTCAAAACTCGGAGGGCAGGAGCGGAGCAGAGCAACTCACAACGCAGGGCATGCCAGGGTGGGTGAGGATGTACGCATAGCCCTGCATGGCCTTGTCGGCAGGGAACGGCCACGAGTTCTGCGTGCTTCCCGTGTCGTGGTTGTCTATGAACGTCACTGCCCGCGCCGGCCAGTACCCTATCATGCCTGCCAGGACCATCACAGCCAGAACCATCGCATAGCACCCCGTAGTGGGTGATGCATGGAGGTGAGATGATTAGGTTGGGAAGGGAATGGAGAGACAGAGCAAATGGAAAGTGGAAGCGGCGAATTGTAAGGCAAGAAACGCCCAGCATAGCAGCGTAAGTAGCACCACCCATGCCAGAGCACCGCACAGCACAGCACAGCACACAGCACGCACAGCACAGCAGAAAACAGCACAGCAGAGTACCACTTTCACACATTACTCCCCCTCCTCCACTGATCCCATCCCCTGCTAACCTGGCGGCTTCCCCGCGCCGTCCTTAAGCCGCCACAGCTGCCCCTGCACAGCCTGCTGCAGAATCCCCTTGGTAGTAAAGTCAAACGCGGCGCACACGCCTCCCGTGCCATCCACCCAGTCCACCAGCGCCTGTCTATGCGCGTCCTGGTTCCACGCCAGCTGCCCATCCCCATCGTATCTCATCGCAGTCCACACCTCCCCAACGGCTAGAGTGGGTTCCGTCGCGCGGCAATACTTCCCGACAAACTCCGCGCCGTAGCCCTTCGCAAAGTCGAAGCGCCACCCGTCGAACCCCACCTCGCGCTTCATCCACAGCAGCCAGTTGATCAAATCCCGCTGCACGCGCGCGTTCGTGTGGTCAATATCCGGGGCCGCGCCGTAATCCTCCCCCGTGTCCGCCTTCCCGTCACCCCCGTACGGCATGTCCCCCGCAGTGATCGCCCACGGCCCCCAGTCGAGGCGCTCGTCGGGGGTTCCCCCCTCGAAGATGGTCCAGTTGCCGTGGGCGTCCTGGAAGTCCCCGCAGCGGTGGTTGATGACAATGTCCGCCATGCACCGCACGTGGGCAGAGTGGAGACGGCGGATGAGCCGCCGCAGGTGGACTTCGTCGCCGTACTTTGATGCGTCGAGGTTGTAAAGCTGCGATGGTAGGTAGCCTGGGAAGAGGGAGGGAGGGTGGAGAGGAGTGAGAGGAGTGAGAGGAGTGCATGCTACACACACCCTGCACGTTGCCCCACGCCCCATGCCCCCATATCCCACTTGCCATTCCACATGTCGCATCGCCCATTTCCCACATAGCTCACTGTTTCGCAACCCCACCCTCGCGTCCCCCCCTCGCCCCTGTCCGCCTCACCCTGTCTCTTCGTGATTCCCTCACCTTGAGTGCTCCCAGTCTCCCCTCACCCTGTTTATCGACGGCCTTGGAGGGCGGCGGCAGCCACACGTCCGTGAAGCCCATATCCGCCACCTCCGCCGCGCGCGCCATCAGCACGTCGTACCACAGCTGCTTCTCGCCGCGCCAGCTCTCCCAGTTGAACGCCTGAAGCGGCGGGGGGAAGACCGAGGGAAAAGGGAACCGGAAGGGTGAGACTTTTCAACAAGTGATTCAGACAGAGGTGGAAGCTGCAGCAGCAGCAGCAGCCTACCCCGGGCCCTTTTTTTGTTTCAGCCGCCTTCTCCCCCCCCCCCCCCCCCCCCATTCTCCCTCTTCCCCTCGTTTTCCCGTTCTAGTCGCATTACCTGGAGCAGAACCGACTCAGTCGTGGGTGTGCGGATATTCCCGCCCTCGCTCTCTTCCTCCCCCACTTCCAGCTTCTCCCCATTCGCCGCCTTCGTCGCGCCTTGCGCCGTTGGCCCTTCCGCCACGTGCTGCTGCGCCGACTCCTTCCGCGCAAGCAGCATGCTGTCGCTCATCCACTCCACCGCGCGGGAAAGTTGCAGCGCCCGCCGCCCGTGCGCGGGGAGGATGGGGAGGCGGTAGGGCGGAGAGTGCGGGGACAAAAGGCGGGCTTGGCGGAAGGAGGCGGGCGTTGAGTATCCGCCAGTTAAAGCGCGCAGAGCAGGGGGGGGACAAAGTACCGGGAGACAAGGAGGGCAAAGGTAGAAGGGACGGGCGGCGGAGGTTGCGCAAGTGCGCGGAGATGCTATGGTCCCTCCGCGGAAAACAGTTTCTGTGGCGGTCAACGCGGCCATTGCGCGAGGTTTCCAAAATGCGTAGCGAGCCGAACGCAGAACAAAAAGCGCGATTCTTGTATTATGTGTCAAACAGAGTGAAGTCAGGGTGTTTGAAGCTCCATCGGCAGCGGAAACGTACCGTGCTTATGTCCGGGCGACTAACAAAAAACAGCACTTCAACAAAGAAGCTCGGGTATGCAGGGTCTTCGCTTCGCAATGTGTGTTGTCTGGTGGACGAATGCTGCCTGCTATTCTTGAACTGGTGTCTTGCCTACTGCATTTCCAATTTGACAATGTGCCCCTCTGAGCGAAATTGCCCCGCCAGCAAGGTGCAAGGTACTCGTCCGCTAGTCACTTGTCCGCCAGCGTGCGACTTCCATTCCGCCCCCCTTTGCTTCTGTACCTGACATGACGTGTCATCGGGAGCTGACCGAAACGGGTCCAATATCTACTGCAGAGAACAAAACGATTTGAAGAAAACTGAATGGAATAATTTTGGAGTTAAGTTATGCCAAGAATATGCATGTCATTTATCCACTCGAATATTAGAAACAGTTCCGTAAGTATCAACTTGCCGTCTTCCCGAAAACATTACGGGCAACATGTTGCCAGCACAAGGTGTGGAAACACGCAGCACCACGTCAGAAACGTACGATGAAGCGTGGCATCGCTGTACACGTGGTACAGAAAATAGCGTGACAATGAACAGCGCGATCTTGTATCCCTGTTACGAGTGCAATTGAGTGATCGAGCGAAGATTGCACTATCGAGACAAAGAATGCAATGAGCGAAAGATTGAGCGAAGAATATACAGCGAAGCTGTGGTGGTAACGGTAACGTGGGAAATTCGGGTGCGCGACGGGCCTGGTGCCAAGGTTGGGGACTGTCGAGGCGGAGGTCCGGAGCGCGGGTTACCAACCGAACTGTGAGGTTGGGTCGTATCGTGTATAGTGGCGGGAATGGTGTCGAGGCGAATGTCGCGAGTCGTAACGGAATATTGTAGGGTGCTGTTGGCGGGAACTGTGGTGTACGCGCTGAGCAGGGACGCGAAATAAGGAAAAGGAATTTTCCTTAGACTACCCCCCCCCCCCCCCCCCCCCCCCAAGGAGGCCTCCTTTATGAGAGCGTGTTGATATCTCGGAAATTTCGGCTGCGCATGTACTCGTTGACGACGGGGTGGGTTTCGATGTTGCTCAGGGGGACCCAATTGTCTTCGCTGGGCGTGCGATCTCTCCAGCGGATCAAGAATTCGACCCTGCGTGCTCCTCGTGGGTCGCGAACTCGGTGGCTCAGGATCTTCTCGGGCGTGATGATTGGTTCCGTCTGTGGTCGTGTCATGCTGGCTGGGCGAGTTCGGGCCAGTTGGCTGGTGGATGGAATGTAGGGGCGAAGCAGGCTGACGTAGAAGGACGGACTGACGTACCAGTCAGCAGGGACGAGGAGGTGGGCGGTGACGGGTGTAATCAAGTGGCTGATGCGAAATGGCCCACAATATCGGGGGCGGAGCTTCGGAGTTATGGGCAGGCGGAGGTTTTGGGTGTCAAGTAGAACTAACTCGTCGGGCTGGAAAGTGACGGGTCTGCGGTGGCGATCGGCGTTGCGCTTAGCGATGACGTTGGATTTTTTAATTGCGTCTGCTGCCCTCGTTCGTGCCTCCTGTAGTACTTCTGCAAATTGTTGCGCCCGTGGCACCGGGTTGTCGGGATTCGGAGACATGGGTACTGTAGGGTCTTGTCCGTAGTTCAGGTAAAATGGTGACTGTTGGGTCGTGGCGGATGGCGAGTTGTTGTGCGCGAATTCGATTAGTGGCAGTTGCTGTTCCCAGGTGGTGGATTCATCGCACGTGGCTCGGATTAACTGTTCCATGGTCTGATTTGTCCGTTCTGTATGTCCGTCAGTTTTGGGGTGGTACGAAGAGCTGAACTGTAACCTCGTGCCGAACTGCTGCCACTGGTTTCGCCAGAAATTGCTGGTAAACTTCGTATCGCAGTCGCTAATGATTGCTGCTGGTATCCCGTGTGATCGAACAATGGTTGCGATGAAGAGGCGGGCCGTTTCTTCGGCTGTGATTGTTTTTTTGCATGCTGCGAAATGTGCCATTTTTGTCAATCGATCGACGACGACCAGGATCGCGTCGTTCCCACTTGCTCCGGCCAGTAACCCCGTGACGAAGTCCGTTGTCACCTGCTGCCAAGCACGCTCTGGGGGTGGTATCGGCTACAACTGCCCTGCCGGATGCTTCCGTGATGATTTCATGACTTGGCAGGTGGGACACGATGCCACGTGTCGTTGCACGTCGGTCAACATTTCGGGCCAGTAGTAGTACCGCTGCAGCTGCTGCCGTGGTTTTTTCTACTCCGAAATGTCCCGAGGTGACCCCGTCGTGTGCCTCCTGCAACAGTAATTCCCGTAGGAGTGTGTAGCCCGGTACCCAGATTCGATCGGTGCCCGCTTTTACGTAATAGACCCCTATTGCCGTTGCAAATTGCTGCAAATTTACGCCTGTAAAAAATGGGTCAGTCTGGTAACCGTGGGTAAATAGGCCTGTCAGCAGGGGGCTGGTCTGGGCGAGTAGTATGGCGTGGAGTTGGGCTGTGGGCCGGGTTAATGCGTCGGCGATGTTCGATGCCCCCTTTTTGTAGGTGACCGTATAGTGAAAATTCGACTCGAGGTAGTCGAGCCAGCGGATTTGTCGTGGGTTGAGGTGGGGTTGTGCGCGGAGGTACTGTAGAGATTTGTGGTCTGTCCGTACTGTCACGTCGGCGCCGGTCAAGTAATAGCGCCAGACTTTGAAAGCATGCAGGATCGCAAGCATTTCGCGATCGTGTATCGGGTAATTCTTCTCGGGCGGATGCAACTTTCGTGATTCGTATGCAATGAGTTGTAGGCCGTTGCCGAAATCTTGTAGCAGTACGGCTCCAATGGCGATGTCGCTTGCGTCGGTAACCACTTCAAATGGGCGGTGTGGGTTGGCGATGCGCAGTACGAGCGGTGAACAGAAAACATTTTTCAGGGTAGAGAAGGCAGCCTGCTCTTTCTCCCCCCACGTAAAAGCGACCCCCTTCCGCAGTAAGTCCGTGAGTGGGGTCGTTAAGCGTGCCATGATGGGGACGAACTGTGAGAATTAACGAGAAGAATGGGTGAAACTAGAAAGGAGATGGGTACAAGTAGGAAACACAAAGTGTTGTACCCTCTAAGAACTACCCCACTACGGCCTAAACAGACTATAGTATATATAAGTTTGACACACCCCCATAGGCAAAGTGGGGGAGAACAAGGGGTCACAAGACCAGTCAAGAAAGTAAAGTAAGCTCAGGGTGGATCACAAAGTCACCACACAGTCTGAGCACAAGCAAAGGGCCACAAGGCCAGTTCACATGCAGAGTTATATAAAGGAAAGCAAACAATACAGTGAACACAACCTAGTAAGTGTAAGCATGCAGGTATAAGTATATAGAGTACAATACAAGCAGAGTCAAGAAGTCAACAAGTGAGGCACAATGGGTACAAGGCCTAGCACAATACAGAAACGCTGATGATCACAAGGCTGAAGTGCCTTGGTGAAAACATCAGCAGTGTTGGCCTGAGAGGCCACGTAGGCAAGACGAAGCTGACCGCGCTGCTGCAACTCTCGAGCAAGGAAGTAGCGCAGAGCAATGTGCTTCGTTCTGTGCTCCAGTCTGTGCTCCTGACACAAGGCCAGCATGGCCTTGTTGTCGACGTACAGAACTGGAGGAGAACGAGGCGCCTCTCCCAAGTCGGTCAGCAGGTAGGTGAGCCAGCGTAGCTCCTGTGCAGCCATGGCCCCAGCGTAGATCTCAGCCTCACAGCTGGAGCTGAGAACAGAAGAAGAACCGGTAGACCGCCAAGAGACAGAACCGGAGCCAAGACTGAAGGTGTAACCCTGTGACGACCGCTGCGTAGTCAAGTCGTCAACCCAGGAGGCGTCTGCGTGACCAGTGAGGACAACTCGAGCCCGTCCTCCAAGCACGAGCCCCATGCCCGATGTACTGCACAAGTATCGCAACACCCTCTTCGCAGCATCCCAGTGCACCTCTCGGTGCCTGCCGGGAGTCACGTAGTGAGCCAGAAGGCTGAGAGGGTATGCGAGGTCAGGTCGTGTGCAAGTCATCAGGTACATGAGGCAGCCCACAAGCTCTGGATACGGGCCACTCGGCTCTACGGACTCGTCCGAAGGTGGAGCTGAGAGCGAGTGACCGGTAGGCAGAGGAGTGGACTGTGGCGAGGAGTACGTGAAGCCGAAGCGCTGAAGGACCTGCTGCACCATGTGTGACTGAGTCAAGGTAATGGTGCGCTGTGCTCTGTCCCGGGTGATCCGCAAGCCAAGATAGCTTGTCAGCTCACCCAGGTCTGTGCACGTGTGTCTCTTCTGCAGCTCGGACTTCACGTGGGCGAGTGCCTCAGTGTCAGCAGTTGCAAAGACGAGGTCGTCTATGTACACGAGAACGTAGAACGGCGGCAGAGTAGTGTCAGTGCGTAGAAACAGAGAAGGGTCAGCAGTGGAAGGAGCAAAACCAAGAGCAGCAAGAGTCGTCCTGAGTGTGTCGTGCCACTCACGGGATGCCTGGCGGAGACCGTAGACTGGCCGCCGGAGGCTCCACCTGGGTACCAGCAGGAAACGACCCAGTGAAGCCAGGTGGGTGGCGTAGCCAGATCTCCTCGTGCAGGCTGCCCTGTAGGAAGGCTGTGCTGAAGTCAAGCGAGTGGAGCTCGTAGTCACGCTGAGCAGCAACGTGCAGCAGTACCCGAAGAGTGGTCATCTTCGGGGTAGGGGAGAAGGTCTGAAAGAAGTCAACTCCCTGTCGCTGACTGAAGCCACGAGCAACGTAACGCGCCTTGAAGGCAGGCAGAGAACCCGGCGGCCGCTTCACCCTGAAGATCCACATGCCACTGACGATGTTCGCCCCAGGCGGGGGAACCTCGTCGACGTAAGTGCCTGTGGACTTCCAGGAAGCCATCTCGGCGTCCATGGCTGCCTGCCACTGAGAGGAGTAGGG